ATTCACCAGTAGCGGTCGTATACCCAAGACAGATCAACAGTCTTATTTGGAAGTAAGTCTACTTTATACAAGTAGCTGATTGAGGTCAGATTCTTAACCTTAATATATCAAGTCTTTCTCATTACACTCGAAGARGTTCRCGAAAWCAATTYWTTTTCTMACTGTATTTTTMWAYGAATTGTTCTTTCTGTTTTGTACACTCTAGCGCATCGTTTGCTTAATATTTCTGACTTTTCTCATCTCTTTATGTGTATATATTTCAGTTTGTGGATATTTTTTGGAAAGTCGTTCGAGAAACTTGTACTCGAAGAGGAACATGACACAAAAATGTCGCCAGACGCGGAGGAAGAGAGGTATCGTGGGATAAAAGATGAACTCAAAGATGTGAAAGATCGCTTGAAGAACCTCACACAGTTGATGGAGTCGCAACACCACCAGAGACTGAGATCATCGAGATCATCTAGTCTGCCAGGTATAGCTGAGGCTCGTAAGGTCAGCTCACCTGGCGATGACAGTTCTGTTCTATGATAATAAGCTTAAATCAAAATACATTCCCGGCTTGGATGCAATCTCCTACCTGATTCAAGCAAATTGCTATGAAAAAGCTATCGTTTGGATGGCCAGCTTACCTTTTACGGAAGTTTATTTGAACGTTTTTCCTGTTGTAGGATTAAAAATAAGTTAACCTTCCAAAAATTGTAGAGAACGAAGGATGAAACAGCAGCCATATTTTTTTGCTTTGAAGCCCGGCCTTCAAGTAATAAGGCCAGGATGTAGTAAAACACAGGGATTCCGCGCGCAAACGACAAACATTGGATTGCTTCCAAACCGGGCGGAATAATAATCAATCATTACAATGAAAAAAAGATATATATACAAAAGAACTAAAGTTCACTTCTAAACACGTAAAATATGTATTCAATACTCTGTGTATCGATATATAGGAAACATTTTCCAAAATTCCAAAAATACATGTAAAAATGCGTGTAATTATAACTATGCAGTGACGTTCATGAATATTACTTATAGAATATATTAAGAATCGCCCTGTATAAGTGCATATTTTTTCTATTACAAGCACCGCAACGATTTCATGAGATATTGCCTCATCAGTTACCACGAGTTACCATGTTGCCAATGAACTAAGGGTTGGTCCAGGAAGAGTGTACGGGGGTTGAGGACCCTAACCAGAACGGCAATATATCTTTATATGTGCGTCCTTATTAAGCAAAACTTAAGCATCTCATGTAACCCCCCTGGAAGAAGCCTTCCTGGATCTACAGTCCTACTGTTACCAATATAACTACAACATTTGTATATGATACTTGACATTACTTAAGTTATTTCTACAAAATAAACAGGAATGTACAAAGAACATGGTCTGTCTTCTCTCTTTTTGTATGTCTTCTTAAAGTTGTCATGTTTAATGATCCCATGTGATTCATCGGCCTTTTAAGCGTCATAAACATGGGAACCATTTAAGATAACAAACTTCGTAAGTTGTTCCAGAAGGCATACTATCCTTTTGAGGCACACAGGATCTGCAAAATAAAGTAGTTGAAATAACTAATAACAAATCCTGTTGTCAGATTTTTACTCACTTCTCTCCACAATCATGATCGAGTTATCACTTAAATTTACCGCGTCCGAAAGGTCCAGAAAAGCAGATACATAACATTTTATTTCTGCACGTAAACTAACCTTTTTAATGACTGGAATAACAGCCATGGATAGTGTCTACTGTACGACTGGTGAAATCCCGTCTCTTTTGAATTCTCCAGTTCTTAATATACCACAAAGTCAAAGACTACTTATAGTAGCCTCATCAAACAAAGAAGAATTTAAATCCAAAGTTAATTAAGACTAATAGTATTCACGGAATGTTTCGTCCAGTGCGCCTTATTCCATAATCATTCAACATGTTCAATTGTAATGGGCACCGGAACTCAGTTACGTCCAATTTCTTTCGAGTTTCCACCAGTAGTCGTTGAGCATGCTTCAAACAATGTACACAGCTTGTCGATGTCGTTTTCTGAGACGGTTGAATCTTCTCCAAACCCATTAAACTCACTCGTGTTGTGTCTTGGAGATATTCCATTGCCAGAAACAAAGATCTTGTTTGGTGGGTGGTTTGTTTCTGTGGTACTGCACGCTGAGAAGGCCGATGAACTGGTAAAAGGCCTTTTCCTCACAATTCTTTGTATTTTTCTGATCTTTTTTCTGAACTTCCTTCGAAGGACATTGATGTCAACCTTGATTCTTTGCAAAGCCTTCTGGTAATCTTTAAGTGGCATTGGTGGAGGCCTCAGCATTTGCAGCAACGCATGGATTGCATCACCACTGAACATCCTTTGCAATGTTGCCAGGGAAGAAACCGCTTCCAAACTCTTTCTCTGGTCACATCTGCCATCATGATCTTGTCCTCCTCTAGGTGCTGTGCTGCAGTCGTCCATCGCTTTGACGTTCAAAGTTGACTTAACTCGATGAGGCTTCAAGCGACAGTTTTCGCAGCTTTTCTCTTCTTTCTTATCTGTTCCATTTCTACGGTCGTTTTTCTTAAAAATATTTGCCAACGACTCATTAAACATCGCACATAGATCGTCCTCTTTGACAATGGTTTGGACAAATAATCTTCTCCCAGCTGAAGGATACTGCTCTAACTGTAGCGCTAGACACGTCTTATGTCGCCTTACGATTCCGCTCATTGAAACGAAAATCTTATTTGGAGGCTGGTGCTGCAAATCTTGTGGACTCACCATGGATGGAATTGAAAGAGGACGCTTCATATTTATGTTTCTTGAGCTGTGAAAGCTTGATGATGGAATTCTTATAGCTTTTCTTGTCTTTTGTGTCCTGGATTTAGATTTCCGCCACTTTTTAAAGCCAGTTGAGGGTGGTAGACCTCGTCGGCCTGACAACGCTTTGTCTGCATTGTCAATTAATGGCAAATTATGGGGGTTTGTTGTCTTTGTTGATCTTTTGATTTCTACAATTGTTTCATTTTGAGGACAAATCTTCTCAAGCTCTGTGCGCACCACATCAGTGTTTGTCTCGCCGTATTGGCTATCACCATACGCAAGTGCTGAGAACGTATTCCATCTTGTTAACTTAGAGGTCTTGAAACGGGCCAAGAGCTCATTTTGTGAAAGACCAACTGTAACGTTTAGCGCTAACACCTTAACTAATGCAGTAATTTCCTTAAAGTAGTTGATACTGCATCTGATCTCAACAAGGACCTCAGGTCTCAGAGCCCCACTAAGACCAAATCTTGGTAGCGAGGGAGTGTCTTTCAAATTTATCAATCTTTTTCCATATAACAGCGGTAGCCAATCACAATGCTGTCGCTGTGAATTCATGTTCACGTGTCTATGCAAGCCCATATAAGGTACAATGGCAAGGCATGGTTTCATTTCCCTAAAGGGGTGGTACGCGGTGGGGTTTTGTGTTCCTGTTGCTGTGGCAGACATTCGGCTTCTATCCAACCGCCATCCCATAAGGAAGGAATCAATTCTTGTCGTCCTGAAGGAGATTGTGTTGTAGAGGGGGAAGAGAGAGGATCTTGGCTGTATTTCTTGCTGCACAACTGAAATGATGATACGTATGTATCAGCCGAAGCAATAATGTATCAATAGAGCAAATCAATAATGCCGGTTTTCAGCCACCGTGATTTCTCACACGAGTAACGCTAATTTGTAAAAAATTTCAAATTTACACCGGGCTTCACAAGTTCACGATGCAAACAAATGAAAATAAAACGGCATGCAATATAAAAAGCTTTGTTGCTTGCGTTTACGTTTGCATTTGCGTTGCTCGTGTTTACGTGAGCTATTCAGACGTGAAGATTTCGCAGAATTCGGTATTAATATAATGAGGTCCTAAACTTACCCAGTCCTGAACTCGGCATGTTCGTGTTGTTGCTGGCAATGTTATCCATTGTTCTTGTCTCTTTCCACCAGAAAAACATACTTTTTGTTGAATATATATAAAATACTTTAGCGAATACTTATTACTTTGAAGAAACTTCAAATGAAATAGTTGTTGCTGATGAAAAACTTCATAAACTTTCACTTGTTCATTTACGAACGTAACTTACATTGAAAAATCCCGCATACGTAACAATTGAGCAATCGAACCGGAAGTGAAGGAAGAACCAATAAGCAGCCAAGACGAAAAGTCGCAGAATTCTTCATCATGTTTTTAAACCAATCAGCATGCGTTAACCATGAATGTTCGACCAATCATTTTTTAGCGCGCGCGCTCGTGCGCACTTTATTTTGTATCTGCGTCATATCGAATGTTGGCATTTCCGTTCCATGCACTTATATATCCCTTAAGCTTGGGGTCCGCTCAAAGTCTTCAATGGACGGTAGTGAGTGGAAGTTTTTGATTTTTTTTTCCTGCATTCTCTTCCTTCATTCAAATATTCAACTCTCACAAAAAGTCATTACTCACAAAATTATCGAAATCTATTTTACATTGTTAATATAAAGTTATAATAGAGGGTCTCAATTGAGACCTTATTATTAGCAATCCAAAAAAGATGTCGATTCATGTCATAACGTTCTATTTCGGGCATCTTTGGTTTCTTGTCGCATTTAGCGTGACGATCGGCTCCCGCTCAATTAAGGTCTTTGATGCACAAATTGAGCGGGAGTTTCAAAATGTACAAAAAAATCCCCAAAATAGTATCTAAGTAAGAAAAGACCTTTTATAACTTTAATAGCAATCGAAAAAAAAGATGTCGATTCATAACGGGAGCCGATCGTCACGCTTAACTTGTGACAGAAACCAAAGGTACAACAAATAAAAAGTTACAATATGAGTTGATTTAGATCGTTAATAAAGTTATAAAAGTTTTTCCTTACTTAGACACTATTTTGGGGATTTTTTCTATTCCAAATTTGAAGAAACTACCGCATGAAGAAGGGGGTCTGGGGGACAATCAATAAAATATAGTGAGAGAGGTCTGGCACTAGTTATTTCAAATCCAAAATGGCGGTCTTCGAAACCAGGCAACTTTTGTCAACAAACTGATATGATTGGAAATTTTTCTCTCAATATTTCGATGATCTCTTAAAAACTACAAAAGCTTAACGGTTAATATACATTGGAGSTGGAAATGTTTCAGTAGCGCGAATTTCGCCGGTATTGTTGGACTAATTTTGCATAATAAGTTAATCCGTTACTATGAAAAGTGCTTTGGATTTCTTGCTGTTGTGAAGTGAAAGATGAGTTCTCCTATTTCTAGCTTGAAGAAAGGGAAAAGAAATCCACTAAATCCAAGGTAAAGTGTTATTATGAAGTATTATTTTTAAGGTATTTTTGAGCTCGAAGTTGTTTACAGAATGTCGAAACTACTGGTTCCACGGCAAATTATTAAATCGAAAACAGAAATTCTCCATGGCATACGTTACAATATGTATTGATGCTATTTGTTCATTCATTATAGACAACCTCGTGCGCCCTTTAGGTATGATGCAGGACTTGATGAGCCAACATCAGGTACACTTACAATATGAATATGGCCAAATATCCCAAGGATTTTTTTTGTAACTTCTGTTGCAAGCATCTAATGTAGTTTGTAAAAGAGATGTTTGCAACAGAGGTTATCTTTTCCACAAGTACTTTTAAAATGTACCATTATATTTCACACCTGTAACACTTGTATTATAAATTTGTTATCTGACAAGAAGAAATGCTGGATGATATCCCAAGTGACTTCTTGCGGCGTGACATCATTTCAAAGTTACCAAAAAGCTCTCACAAAGGTGTGTATTTTACAATTGATKCTTATGTACATTGTACAGTGTGTCTTTTTGCCATCWAATATCTACGTTTACTGACAACACTAGTCATATTCAATATATCATCCATACAATGATCTATACATTTATTTATTCATTTTTCCAATTATTCATCCATTCATTTATTTACCCATTCAATTCTCTTACTCTCATCTCTAACTCTCATGTGTTACTTTCATCCATTTATGCATCCACTCCCTTATACATCCCATCCATTCATCCATCTATCTGTTTATTATTTCATCTGTTTGTTCATTCATTTACTTATCGACAGGGACATCGTCAGTCCCAAATGACCATGATTTGTTAACAAGCATGGCAGGTAGACTCAGTCAAACTGAAGCAGAGCTCAGAGTTACCAAGAAAGAACTTATAGATAAGGTCAGATGCTAACCTAACAAGGTCTAATTATGTACAATATACATAATCTTTTTGTTGTTTACAATTAAGGTTGTAATCTTACATTAAATTGATGTGATTGACTGATAATGGTCTTAATAAATGTGCAAGTGATCTGTTCAATTCATTTGAACCAGCAGTAGATTTGCCTGCACATTACAAAAGACCTGACATTAATGATACTGAAGTAAATCGTAGAGATCTTGCAAAGCATTGTTGGGTTTCTTTTTCCTGCTTCAAACACATGTAGTTCTGTTGATTTACTATTAATATGTTTATTCAATATTTTTTCTAAATAAACTCCAGATAATTTCAGTGCATATTGTAGAAGTGCAACACGGACATGTACTATGCAACAACTGGTTTCATATACCGGTAAATATCAAATGTTTTGTTCGTTGTACTCTAGGACAGAAACATTAAGATACTACAAGAGAAGGTTCAGCTTCTTGAAAAGGCCAGAGGTTAGTGAATGCTATTTGAAAAAAATTTAATAGCAAAATAATGGACAAACAGCTTAATGTAATACCAAACTTTATTTACCCATTGGTTAGTTATATTAATTGAAATATTGATAATGTTACAGGATAAAAATCTTGTCTTACTTTAGTAAATAAGCTGCAATTTAACAATCAACAAGAATAAACGTATATTTTGACACAGGCACACCGTCAGACAGTTGGTGTTATGTGTATGATATTGCTTTCTTTTATAAAGGTTATAATTCAGACACCATTGGGGATTTAGAACAGAAGTGTCACTCTCTCCAAACYCAAGTTCATGAGATGGAGGTAAGCACAGTTTGTAGAGGGTATTAGTTTAATTACTAATTACACCTGGTTAAAACAAAAGAACACTGTCATGTTGTATCAATTTGAAAGTTTTATCATAACAATATTGTCCATCTCTATTGAGCCTAGAATTTGAGTAAAAGTGATCTGACTTCTTAATGTTGATACCAGGAATTCCTGGCTGATTATGGACTAGTGTGGGTTGGTAACCAGTACATAGAGAATGAATATCAGCCTCTTGATGATGACGAGGGACCCGTTAGTGATCAGGACATCGTCAGTAAAAGTGGAATGTGGAACCCAGGTAAGATTTAGCTTCAAAATAAGTTACCTCACTGATGACCACTGTAGCAACTGAATTGGTCAGTGCTTTTGTTCAAATGTATTATTTCTGAAATATCTGTTTTCGACATTTTTTATTTGATACTTAGTTGCATCCGTCCCACAAGACACCTTACAAATCAACTTTGATCTTCTCATCAAGAACATCAAGGAACTTAACATACTGTCAGGGGAGGGGTGTGCAGTTGTTTCCAAGACCAAGGATGGTGCAAGACTAAAAGTAAAAGATTATAGCTTACAAAAATAATAAAATTATTGAATTAAAACTGATTGGAATTTATTGAATTATTATTTAATTTTTATCATGGCTGTTACACAAAGCTCTCTATTATTACAGGTTCCAGATCCAGTTCCTTTGACACTGTTTTCAAATGGTATATTCATGTTTGGTGGGCCATTTCGACCATATACTGACCCAACAACTCAGGTACATACCATGTATGATTGTATTAACCTCTTTGTACCATTTTGTGCAATTTAGCAAAGTTCATAAGGAACAATGGTGATTCAATGGATGTTTTGCTTCAGTTGCAGATTTTGTTCAAATTTCTTTTTATTTTGCTTTGGACATTTTCACAGGATAGAGTGATTGCACTTAAACCATGCAACTGTACAAAATCTAAGTAGTACTAATTTGTACTAAAAGTGGACCTGAAGCAAGACAGTATTAAATGCTTCATTTGTATCAATTCAATTTAATTTGTGTACCACATACACGATTTTCTAAATACAACTAAATAGCACTATTTAGTTTGTAAAATTGCACGAGGTTTAAGCGCGAACATTCTAAACATACTCACAAGTTTATGCTCATGATATTTTACTTTGTTTCAGCAATGTATTCAAGATATTATGGATGGTTATTTCCCTTCAGAACTACAGTCCAGGTTCCCTGATGGTGTGCCCTTTGATGTGAGTGACATATATGAATTTTAGAAACCATGCATTTTAGCTGCAAATATTCAGATTATAAGAAAAAAAATATTAAATTTTCATTCATTGATAAATGCAACTATTGAGAAAACAAACAAATGTTATTGTGAACATATTGTTGGCATTTTTTTTTCCTTCAAGAACTGATTAATGTGGTTGTCTTGATTCTTTGATATATAATCATGTAATATGAACAATAATTTTGTATTTGCAAACGCTCCACTTTTCTCCATTTTATATATTTTCTACTGTTAAAAATTGAATTAAATTTTGATGTTAAGGTCTCTGATAAAAGAGAGATAGCATATCAAGATAGAAGAACAGAAATCCTCTTTCCTGGTGAAGGACAGAGTTTATTGAAAGACTCACCAGATGACAGAGAAACTGGGAAAGTCACCAGTGAAGTTCCAGGTAAAATTCCAGGAATATTTCCACCGTAGTATGTGAGAATGGAAAGTTTCCATTTATCTTAAGTATTCAACTTGCACTAGTGTGTTATCAGCTTGGCACAACTGTATTGGTTTGAAGTAAAGGAATATTTTTGATGTAATAATTCAGGACCTAAGAGCTCAGTTGAGAATTTTCTGTCAAGACTTCCACAATCTGTGGTTAAGGCTGGCAAGATTATTGATGTACGATCTGGTATAGAGCAAACAATTAAGGTAATCATTAGACAGCTGTCCAAGTCAATAATTTTGCCACTGTAAAGATAATCAAGCACATTTAAAATTGGCAATAGTCTCCTTTACGGTTAGATGTGCCATCTTGAGAGGTAGCCGTGAGTTTACATCGCATCGAGACAACCATTGAGCGTGCAATGATAGATACCTGTGAATAATTGTCTGTAGGTGTGAAAGAAGATTTCTATCATTGCACGCTCAACGGTCGTCTCGCTTCGATTCAAAGGCATGGCTACCTTTCAAGGTGATGCAGGGAACCGTGAAGAAGACTATTACCCTAAAGTGTCGCTGTTCCCCTGTTTTCTAGGGAAGTGATGGACAGCCTTCAAGCGTAGTTGTAGTGAACACTCCTGCTCTGAATGACATCAAAACAAGGTTAAAGAGAACTTATATTTGTATCCAAGAAAAAATTATATAATTACCATGACATTACAGTATCTCACACTGGTCCTTTTGTCAGTGAGAAAACCAGAAAACTCTGGTTTCATAGTGACTTTACCACTGACACAATGTTTAAATGAGAACTCAATGCAAAGCAATTAGTTTAGACTTGTCTTTTTAAGGCAGCTAAAGTCTAGTTTAATAGCATCAATGCATTTTGGTCTTGGATTGCACTAGCATAATATGCAGTATCACATTATTCAACCACAACATTTCTGCTTGTTTGACAGGGCTGAGGAGAATGATAAGAGTAAAGAAAGACCAAAAACAGGAACAACTAAAGTAACGACCCTAAGAATCAAATCTGAGACAGGAGAAAAGGTGTTTTTGATGTGTGATAATTCATACTAAAATGTTTAAGTTCCCTCGTACGTTAATGGTTAATTCCCATTACTTTATATAGGTATATATATAAGGCCAGTTGACACAACAAAACTTTTGCCTGCAGCTATGTATCGCATTATCCTATTGTCGTATGAGTATCAAACAATTGGTTTAAATTCTTATTTTCTACAACACTATTTTTGTTTTTCAGACATATTTAGTAAAGATGAGCTTTACTGATACTATTGCTGATTTAAGAGAACATCTAAATGCTGTCAGGTACGATATAAGACTCTCACTTCCCCCCAAAGTATATATTAATCCCCTGTCCATCCCTCCATAAGTCAATGAAAAAAACTTAAAGGATTTCTTTACCACCAGGCCAAAAGGTGCTCCTGATTACAATATCAAGTCCTCATTTCCTAATAAGGTGTACAGTGATCTTAGTGCTACGTTGGTAGAGTGTGGGCTGGTACCCAATGCTACTTTGCACTTGTTAATCAAGAAGGCATAGGTCAGGGATTCTTATGTAGTATATAGTTTAGAGACTGTTTAAATTATGTGCATATAATCTCGGAGTTCCTGTGGAAAATGCAACCATTCTTGAGTGGGAGAATCTACGTAGCACTCAGTTGATGTAATATATTCATAAAGATATAATACAAAACAAAACACATAATACAATAGAACGAGAAACAATGGAATACAATACATTTTATGAATACATTACATCAACTGCGTGCTACGTAGGTCACCCCATTCTTTGAGTAGCGCATGGCCAGAAATCTCTCGAGAGTAAAAAAGAATAAAGCTTTTATGTTGGGTGAATGAGCAAGAGAGACTGATGAGGAATCCTTGAAATTTCATCCAACATGGCGGATATTACACATCTTGTACAACAAGTTGTCATAATGTATCATGGCAATCTAAACTTTTTAATTTTTTTGCATTTAAACTATTTTGTACATGTTCATTGTAAACCGTTGCAGCGAAAAGATAATATTGATGATAATAATTTCGTATTAACATCATTAAATAACATAACAAAGCTCTAACGTCTTGAATCTTATATTTTTCTAAACTACATATTTTGCTTGACTTATATTCTAATGATAATATACATTGAATCTGCCGAGTAGTTTAGTTTTTTTAAGATTGGTGAAGTGCGTTTTTCCTGTCATTCTTTAAAYATTTCATCCATTTCTTATCTTTGTTAAAATCGTGTTTTTTTTGTCATTATTATCAAAGTTATTCGTGTTACCATCATCGTTATAAAATGGTAGGCACTAAGATCATTACTTACAGACGTTCAAGTGCCTCTTTATTAGGGAAATTCCCGTCTAATTGTCTTGCTTAACATAAGATGATTGACTTGTTATGCTGYCTGCAAGCCATTTTGTACTTGATTGTTAGCAGAAATGTTTCCACTCTTAAAGCCTTTTCATCTGTCAAACCCCTTTGGTACTTTGAACGGCTAACATAATTGCCTTGCCTGGGGCGATAGGGATTTCTCTGGATGCTCACATCTGGGTTTTGTTTTTGAATAACATATCTACTGCTGAGTCCGTGGTTTTGGGAACTGTGTGTGCATCGTGTTCTAATTAACGCAGTACCCAAAGGTTTCTTGTACGTGRAGTTTCGTTAAAGCTCACGCAACGCGTTGTTGTCACGCGTTTCTAGATGAATTCGTCCTTTTCCTGACCCTTCTTTATCCCATTCTCATTATCCCTCAATTTCATTTCTTTACCATCTACAAAATAATCGTCTATATCAACCATTGTCCATCACGTATCTATGACTCATTAAGTCAATATTCAAAATATTCCAATATAAGTGTGGTGTTTCGTGGAAAGYGKGCTCATTGGTATAGTAGTTTCGGACTGTCAAATTTCCTGCTTTCTTGACAGTTTTTGCTGTTTTCGTTCTGGCTGTTATTTTTCCATTACTTTGCCTGTTTACTTGTGTGCTCCTTGTCTGTCTTTGTACATACTTACCGAAGTATTCCCTGTGATTAAGTCTTTCAAACAATTACCCTCAAAATGTAAACTTACCGCACAGTGAGTTACGTCATGCATCACTTGACCTCTTCATTATCGTCTTCAATCAGCCCATTCCTTTACCAAATGACATGGGATGAAACACTGCATATAATGGCTAAAATCCTCGGGTAATATAAACCATTTAAGCACCTTTTGCTAATAAACCAGGCGCTGAAATATCTCCTCTCTTATCATATAATTAACTTCCACTTTCATCAGCAAACGTCATCTCGTCCAGGTCTTTAGCAGCAATCTTGTGGTTATCTTTTGAAATGATCAAATTTGTGGTAGAGTTCTGCTTTGTTCCGTCTCTGACCTTTAGATCATCGATGGGCGGTTGATGTACATTTGCATAATACTTACCAAAGACAGGAATTACACTCTCCTGAGTTAAATGACTGATCCATCTAAAATTGGATCAAAATTTCATGTCAATGGGAAGTGGAAATTGGGRAMATTTCCGGAGAGTTGTCATARAGGCCTTCATCTTTCCAAGAAAGAGAAAAGGAGATGYTTGCCTGAAGATATCATCACGCGTCAAGTCTTTTACGTGGTGATGTTTTGCATAAGAATAAAGTTGATGCGATATCGATACCCTATGGTCTGTTGTTTAAACTACTGGCTTATACACCACTGTCTCAAGTTACACATTCTGAAATTGACCCCGGACAGCTCACCACGGCATTTATTCAAGCATGGTATTTAATTATGCCGTATTGACTGCAACATCTWACCTACATCGATATCCTGYGTTCAGAATACAAAAAGGCGACAATGTTCCTCGAGCGGCAGACCTTTGGAAATTTTCTGATTCTTGTGTTTGGCCCAAGATCGTTGCACTTGAAGATCAACCTTATGGAAAAACTATCTGTATATCAAATTGAAGTTTGAATGGTTCGTACTAAGATGGATTCTTTAAATTTTCTCCGAGATCACTCCAGACAATTTTCAGTTCGTTTAACGTGGACAAGGCATTGGGAAATAAGTCGAACGATACTCTGCGTGGCTGCGAGTCTTTATTTGGTATGTCAGGTTGCTGTTTTACTACGAAAGGAAGAGGGCAGAAGTGATGTTTTAACTGAACTGCATCACACAACAGATAGACTTCACCGCATGGAGTCAGCACTTGAAATCCTTGAGAAAACAGTTGGACAGCTACTTAAAGAGAAACATGAAAGAGTAAAACGAATGCTATCCGTGAAACCGCCAAAACTCAGAAGAAGAGGTAAGAAGAAGAAGAAGAAGAAGCGACGGCGGTCCGTGCGTTCTTTCCGACGCGACATTCGTTTCTTGAAACACAAGATGAAAGTCTTCGAGAAACGGTGAGTTATTGTTGGGTACAGGTTTAATAACACTATTGTTGTATGACCATTTAGACTAATTAGATCTTCACCATGTGGGTGCCAAACAGTAAACAACGTCTTCTGGTAGCAAGGTTGCCATTATTTGGCTTACACCTTAAGTGTCTAAATTAAGGACTTTTAGGATTATGTTCTGTTAATGTAAATAACGATTAATTAACTTCTAAACATATTCCGTGCCGTGACCAAATCGGATTGAAACGGACTAGCTATCCTGCTTTCATCACGGCTGCTATAATGCTACTGCATGATCAAAGTCAACCATCTCAACATGATCATTGACACTGCATTTTCATCTCATGGCAATACCTTAACCATTCCAAAACGTCTTCTGAATTTCATCGATGCTAAATAGACACTAAAAGTCTCTTGAAAAGTGCTACCACTTATGAATGAATGACTGTTACGCCGGGCGTTACAAACAAACTTTTTAGTAGCTCCACGTACACTACGGAATTTGGAGGTCAGGCTAGATTAAACCCTCTTTAGAGTAAAGTATTAACTATCAATGTATACATAAACTGTGGACTTATCAACAGATAATAGCCACGTTATATACATAACAAGACGAACGTGTTTTCATTGAAGTCCCTTTTTAAGGCAATTGAAACCAGACTATCAACGTAATGTGGAACATTTAACATTTAACCTGCAGAAAAAGTGATGTTTTGTGCACAGCAAAAGGTGAAAACTTTTCACTGAACATTTGACAGTAATTTTCTGTAATAGTATGCACATTTATGAGAATAGAGAGTACCTGAATGATTGAATTCTACATTTAAACTGTTTTTCTAAAGAAGTGAAAGATTTTTTTGTGATGTTATGACAAAGTATAGTTCCATCGTTGTTCGCTGAATGGCCCGAAATATACAATGCAGG